CTTTCATCTCTCTCTCTCTCTCTCTCTCTCTCTCTCTCTCTCGTCTCTCTCGTAATATTTCTGCTAAATATGTAAAAATAAAGGAGTTATGAATAAGTGTGGTCGCTGCTGTATCGAGTGTGTGTAAATGTACTATTTTTTTCAATTGCTTTTGGTATTCACATGTAAAAGCTAGATGGCAACTTTGCATACTGTATCAGCAGGAAACCACAACTAGGCGACAAGGCTGGCAGTCACCACCATAGAGTTAGAGAGAGAGATTGTCACATTGCCTGCCTCCTCAACACCATCACAGAGGCGTACCCCAAATGCATCTTCATTGCAGAGGACACAATTAATGATAGATGTTATGCCTGTAACTGAAAAACCTTAAGATGAGAAATACATCTCATAATCAGCTGCAGTAGTTGTTTATTTGTATGAAATGCCTCACAAGGTACTGTAAAGGCACTGTATAGCCTTTGATGATAAGGCTGTGCTTCAACAACCTTGTGAATGCCAAAAAAGAGAGAGAGAAAAAAAAAATGCAGGGAATAGTATCCTCAACTTCCAAGCCTGATGTCTCAAAACTAAATCTTTGTCAACCTTTTTTTTTTTCTTTCTTTCTTTAATTCTTTCTCCTTAACTGCTTGGGCAGTTCTAATAGGGTTTGGATCATTTCAAAGCTGAATAGATTTACAATTTTTTCAAACAAGCAATTTTCATTTCAGGTGATAGAAGTCAATATAGCATATTTTATATTCATTACAATGAACATTTGAAAAAAGATTCTTCCCACTAAGGTAAGAGGAAATTTCAAAATATGTAAATAACCATTGGTTATTTACATATTGCAATACATTATATGTGGTATTTTTTAACATGTTCAGGCAATGGATTAGTGCGAAATATAAAATTGATTATTTTTCAAAAACTTTTTTTTTATTAATTCATTGTTTATTATCCAAATGATATGTAACTTGGTGGTGTAAATGTCAGTATATGTATATATAACATACTAAAAATCATAAAAATCCGATCATGATTGACAAACTTTGTTCTTGAGCATGATGGAACACTTGAGATTATATAAGTAAGGAGTTACTGTATGTTAATTCTTTTACAATCTTCAGGTTATTATAGAGATATATATGATCTTTTGTTGTATATTTTATTAGTACTAGTATCCATTACATTCTAATTGATATCTATATTATTTTTGTAATAGTGCATGAACAAGGGTGAAATTAAGGGGAGTGTGAGAAGCTAGTAAAACTCCTCTATTAAGTGCACTGACCACATCAATCTGGTGATATTACTAAACTCGTGCGATCAAAGAACCTTTACTTAAAAAAGTAACTGCTCCAATTCTTTTGACTAAGCAACTCTAGGAACATGCCAGTAGTTTCTTATAATCCAGTAGTTTCTTATAATCTTGTAATCATGCCAGTAGTTTCTTATAATCTTGTAATTATGCCAGTGGTTTCTTTTAATCTTTAATCATGCCAGCCAGTAGTTTCTTATAATCTTGTAATCATGCCGGTAGTTTCTTATAATCTTAATCATGCCAGTAGTTTCTTATAATCTTGTAATCATGCCAGTAGTTTCTTATTATGATAATAGAGTTACTTATTTGAGTAATAGCACTTTGATCTCAACAGTCTGGTCATTATGGTTTATTTTTAGTACTTTGTTCTTGATTTCAAAAATATATTATCACCTGTAAAATAGTTATGGTGGAATGGGTAGCAAAACACTTATATTGCACCACTTCAATGATATGATAATCTGACATGCATGGTGCATCACAGACTATCTGTTTGTTATATAGGATTATCAGAAGTCTGTTTTTGAGTCCCTGTGGTAGATATTTTCACGTGAATTGTTATAAATTCCTACATTATACACATCCATGAATGAAGCTTGATAATTACAAGAAACAGCCCATGTCTCCACACTGACCGTAATATACTATCTGCAGAATCCAATGTACCATGCCTAAATGTCACACAGCCCAGATTTATCTTCCAGTGCACTGTTTTGTAAGTTAGATGGAAATTGTTGCATGGACACTTTTATTAGGAAAATGAGTTTGAAATGCAAGTTAGCGGAACAAAGATACTTGGAAAATTTTTAATAACACAAAAAGTTTTTGTATAAATGTACATTTTTGTTGCAAAACAAATTTAGCATAGCTGACAAATAAAAAAGATAGACATTTTCATATTTTCAGAAAATAATACTTATTTTTACTTGACTTTTCCTACAGTTCAGGACCTTAGAAATATTTTCCTCAAGCTACTTTTTTAGATTTTTGACCAACTCTTCAAAATGGAGAAAAAAAAATAATTTTGGATTGTTGTAGTGGAAATAGTCAGAGTTGAAAAAAGTATCACAGTAAAATCACTCATTCTTTGTCTTTCTTAAGTAAATGAAACATGTCTCATTTTCCTATGTAAAAAATTGTGACGACTTTGAACAATGGACAGCAGCTCTTTCTTTTGTTTTCATAAATGAATAACTAGCCATTTTTTTTTTTCCATTTACAGAAAAAATACCTTGATCCAGCATCCACACTGGGTATGAATTAAAGGGTGAATCTCACAAATTGATACTCAAAAGAAAATATTTGGGGGATCTCCTTGCTTATCATTTTGACAAGAAATTGATCAAGTAGGCATCATGTATGTGCCTGCAAAAAGTATTAAAATGAACCATTTGTTAAGAAATAGCTTAGTCAGTATTTTAATTTATTCAAAAAGAGAATATAAGAAACTTAAGAGAGATGGGCTTTGGGCAGTACTTTTACATTCATGTTCACATTCATAGAACCCTTTATGAAGTCTGTGTTATTCTAGCTGATGAATCATAAAATCTCTTTTGTTTTGTACAGTATAATTTTATTACACTGTTACCTTCCTTGAACTTATATTGAGAACTACCCAGTCATATTCACACAGCCCAGATTTATCTTCCAGTGCACTGTTTTGTAAGTTAGATGGAAATTGTTGCATGGACACTTTTATTAAGAAAATAAGTTTGAAATGCAAGTTAGCGGAACAAAGATACTTGGAAAATTTTTAATAACACAAAAAGTTTTTGTATAAATGTACATTTTTGTTGCAAAACATTTTTAGCATAGCTGACAAATAAAATAGACATTTTCATATTTTCAAAAATTAATACTTATTTTTACTTGACTTTTCCTACAGTTCAGGACCTTAGAAATAGTTTCCTCAAGCTACTTTTTTAGATTTTTGACCAACTCTTCAAAATGGAGAAAAAAATTTTTTTTGGATTGTTGTAGTGGAAATATAAAGTCAGAGTTGAAAGAAGTATCACAGTAAAGTCACTCATTCTTTGTCTTTCTTAAGTAAATGAAACATGTCTCATTTTCCTATGTAAAAAATTGTGACGACTTTGAACAATGGACAGCAGCTCTTTCTTTTGTTTTCATAAATGAATAACTAGCCATTTTTTTTTTCCATTTACAGAAAAAATACCTTGATCCAGCATCCACACTGGGTATGAATTAAAGGGTGAATCTCACAAATTGATACTCAAAAGAAAATATTTGGGGGATCTCCTTGCTTATCATTTTGACAAGAAATTGATCAAGTAGGCATCATGTATGTGCCTGCAAAAAGTATTAAAATGAACCATTTGTTAAGAAATAGCCTAGTCAGTATTTTAATTTATTCAAAAAGAGAATATAAGAAACTTAAGAGAGATGGGCTTTGGGCAGTACTTTTACATTCATGTTCACATTCATAGAACCCTTTATGAAGTCTGTGTTATTCTAGCTGATGAATCATAAAATCTCTTTTGTTTTGTACATTATAATTTTATTACACTGTTACCTTCCTTGAACTTATATTGAGAACTACCCAGTCATATTCGAAAAGTATTCATATTTAACCTCTGGTATTACCAAAATTGGTTGTTATAAAATTTCCATCCCGCAACAATGTTATGTTGTTGTTTTTTGAATGGGCTTTATTCATAGATAACTCCATAAGTGCTCAGTTGACAACATGACCTCAGCTGATTTGTCCTTTCCTTGAGTTTATAGGAAAAGTTAGTTTTCCTTGTCCAATTAATATTGATAATATTATTATTAATGTCATGATTATTATGTCATTAACAATACTAATAGCAATAAAATATGTAAAAAAAAAAAAAAAATGAAACAAGGAAAAGGGTAAACAAGAAATTGACTCTAAGTACTAGTGCTATGAGTAAACACAATCATTAAACTAAAATCACAGTGGACATGATACATATGAGCATGCCATCCCCAGCAGCAGTGGATTAATACCAAAAAATGTGTTACAGGAAAAAAATGCTGTATTTAGTGATTCTAGGCGTGAGAAGGACCTAAGAGGGACCATGAAAGCAGAGGTTATAAGACTTTTGAATAAAGATGATGTTACAATATTTGATGCAGGGAATTATATCAAAGGCTACAGGTAAGAAGTTTTTAGCAAATATATTTAGTATTAAAAGCTTGCATGATGTTTGATGGAAAAGTTGTGTATTTTTTTGTCACAGAATCTTGTATTGAGTAGTGTTGTTAATGATTGTAAGAATTTATCATTTTAGAAATAAATGAACATATAAATGTAATCATGCCTATCAAATAATCAGTAATTTATATTTACTATTATGATTGAATTTGAGTTGTTCTGCAGATATGAATTGTATTGCGCAACAAAACACAACAAAACACCCCATTGTATTGTCCACTGTTTGGTCCCAACTGAACAAGCATGGTCGTGGAATGAAAATCGAGTTGAGGATGACCAGTATACCCGTGAGATTTTTGATGGCCTTGTCATGAGATATGAGGAACCTAATAGCAATAATAGGTATTCTTATAACTCTTTCATATGCATTGGTATTGTACAAATTATTAAGGGTTAGTCCTATGTAATTATTATGGCTTTTTGGTATGATTAGGTATTTTACATACATGTACTTGGATAAATGGAAATTTTAAGAGTTATCACTGAAATTTTAAGCAAATATAGTATTTGTATTTGCAAAGTTAAATTTATATTCTAAAGTTTAAATATTCAATTTTAACAGGTGGGATTCACCAATGTTTACTGTGTTACCGGAAGATAAGCCCCAGTTTGAAAACATTTTTGAAGCAATATATCTACGTAAGCCTCCTCCACCTAATCAGTCTACACAAACACAGCCATTATCATCTACAAACTTTCTTTTTGAGCTCGATCGGACAACGCAGGTAAGATCAGTTATGTTACCTAACAGCCATAGGATAAAAGTAGTGTCGTAAGTGTTCTGAATTATTGCAATATTTTGTTTGAGAATGTAGAATAAAGACATTGCATATATTATTGTAACCCAAGTAAACAGTATGTAATATTTAAAGAATATTTAAAGAATACTCATTACTTTGGGAAACTATTGAAAATCAGAGTAGACAGAAGTTAGAAAGGGATACATAGTAAAACATGGTACATGAAATTCTAAGAATTTGAAAGATGTGACAGGATCATTAGAATAATTTAAAAAAAAACCTTTCTCTCTTAAGAAAATGCTTTAATGTTATTGCTGCTTTCAAAATGCAGTAACTCTGTAATCCATCATAACTGCATAGTCACTATGTTCTGACTGTTTTTTTTTTTTTTATTATTATTATTACTATTATTAGTATTATCATTATTCCAGTGAACACCTCACATGAGTACCATTTTCTACAAAAAAAAAAAAAAAAAAAAAAAAAAAAAAAAAAAAAAAAAAAAAAGCTTTTATTTTTTCTTATTATACATATTTCTCTTTATTATATAAAAAGGAAGTAACAGCAACAATAATGTCAGCTCAGAAAATAGTAGGAGGAAGTGACGTCAGAATCCCTGGAGTTACTGAACCAGTAAATCTTGGAAGAATGGTAAATATTCCTGTCTTCTCATTTCATTCTCAATGAAACTTTTAGAAATACCTTATTTCTTTGCAAAGATGTTATATATATATATATATATATATATATTATATANTAATAGTGACTGTTTTGTTGGGAGAGGAACGTAAAAATAGAGAGGGATTTATATGTCGTATTTGTTGGGAGAGGAAACGTAAAATGGAGAGGGTTAGCATGTGTATTTGTTGGAGAGGAACGTAAAATAGAGAGGGGGTTATATGTGTATTTGTGTGGGGAGGAACGAAACGTAAAAATAGAGAGGGATTATATGTGTATTTGTTGGGAGAGGAACGTAAAAATAGAGAGGGGTTATATGTGTATTTGTTGGGAGAGGAACGTAAAATAGAGAGGGGTTATATGTGTATTTGTTGGGAGAGGAACGTAAAAATAGAGAGGGGTTATATGTGCATTTGTTGGGAGCGGAACGTAAAATGGAGAGGGGTTATATGTGTATTTGTTGGGAGAGGAACGTAAAATAGAGAGGGGTTATATGTGTATTTGTTGGGAGAGGAACGTAAAATGGAGAGGGGTTAGATGTGTATTTGTTGGGAGAGGAACGTAAAAATAGAGAGGGATTATATGTGTATTTGTTGGGAGAGGAACGTAAAAATAGAGAGGGGTTAGATGTGTATTTGTTGGGAGAGGAACGTAAAATAGAGAGGGGTGTATTTGTTGGGAGAGGAACGTAAAAATAGAGAGGGGTTAGATGTGTATTTTGTTGGAGAGGAACGTAAAAATAGAGAGGGTTAGATGTGTATTTGTTGGGAGAGGAACGTAAATAGAGAGAGATGTGTATTTGTTGGGAGAGAACGTAAAATAGAGAGGGGTTATATGTGTATTTGTTGGGAGAGGAACGTAAAAGATAGAGAGGGGTTAGATGTGTATTTGTTGGGAGAGGAACGTAAAGAATAGAGAGGGGTTATATGTGTATTTGTTGGGAGAGGAACGTAAAGGAGAGGGGTTAGATGTGTATTTGTTGGGAGAGGAACGTAAAGATAGAGAGGGGTTATATGTGTATTTGTTGGGAGAGGAACGTAAAGATAGAGAGGGGTTAGATGTGTATTTGTTGGGAGAGGAACGTAAAAGATAGAGAGGGGTTATATGTGTATTTGTTGGGAGAGGAACGTAAAGATAGAGAGGGGTTAGATGTGTATTTGTTGGGAGAGGAACGTAAAATAGAGAGGGATTATATGTGTATTTGTTGGGAGAGGAACGTAAAGATAGAGAGGGGTTATATGTGTATTTGTTGGGAGAGGAACGTAAAGATAGAGAGGGGTTATATGTGTATTTGTTGGGAGAGGAACGTAAAGATAGAGAGGGATTATATATGTATTTGTTGGGAGAGGAACGTAAAATGGAGAGGGTTTATATGTGTATTTGTTGGGAGAGGAACGTAAAAATAGAGAGGGTTTATATGTGTATTTGTTGGGAGAGGAACATAAAAATAGAGAGGGATTATATGTGTATTTGTTGGGAGAGGAACGTAAAAATAGAGAGGGGTTATATATGTATTTGTTGGAATGTGCTGTGCATATAACACAACAAGTATACAAGCAAGAAAGTGGAGCCCAAAACACATACACATACTCAAAAATGAATAGATGGATAGGTTGATGGAAGAATGGATGCAAGGATGGATGGATGGAAGAATGGATGTACGATGGATGGACGCAATGGTGGATGGATGGAAGGATGGATGGATGGATATAGGGAAGGAGGAACGAGGGTGGGAGGTAGAGACGGATAACAAACAAACTTGATAAACAGACGGTATACACAGGCTACAAAGTCACTGCAAACTGAATAAAGATACACAACGAATACAGTACAGTCGCGGTAAAAAAAAAAAAAATAAAAAAAAATTAAAAAAAAAAAAATCTTGCGTTTTGAATTCCTTTTCGGACATCAGCACCACACTTTTTTTATATATGGGAGAGCAGATTCGAAGCTTCAGTTCATTAAAGAACTGTTGTCCGCCACTGCACATGCGGACACGAACTCAAAAGCACCGACGAAAAAAAATGTAGGGGTAAACACACGGATAGAAACATACACTAACGCGCTCGAACCAAACAAACACTAACAACAACTAGCACAAACACGCACAGACATGACCTAACACAAACACAAACACAATCAGACATAACCTAAAACAAACAACACAAACACACGAAGACATGACCAACACACGAAGACAGGACCAACATACGAAGACATGACCAACATACGAAGACATGACCAACATACGAAGACATGACCAACACACGAAAACAGGACCCAACCGAAGCGCAAATACAAACCCAAAACCCAACCAACACCACAAACTGCGAATCCAGACCCCCTCCCCCCTCCCTCAACCCACCACCCTCCTCAACCCACCACCCTCCCTCAACCCGCCCCACCCTCCCCCAACCACCCTTCCTCAACCCGCCCCCACCCTCCCTGACCCAAAACATACCTTCAGAACACTGTACCGGGTCTTATTATTGCCTCTGAAGGAATCCTGAGCATAGTATTTCGTGACAGTATAAGAAGGCAGCTGTTTGTCCTCCAAGTAGGTCACCTTGGCCCTCTCCCCTGCGATCTTCACGACCTCAAGGCGCAAGGAAGAGAGTTGAAGGTGGACGGAACACCGCTGGGTGTCGAACGGGTAGAAGAACACGTCGAAGGAACAGGCGAAACTACCGCTGTAACGAGGGAACGAGGTCGTTAGGCTATTTAAGGGAAGATTTCTAAGAGTAGTTATCTTTGTCTTTCTCTTTTTCTAGTTCTTTGTCCTAAAAGGGTTAGGAAGGAGGTTGTTAAAGCTATTTAAGGGAAGATTTTAGGGGTGTGGTTATTAATCAACTACCAAAATAGGTTTGGAACAAGGTCGTTAGGCCATTTGATTAATATTGTTTGGGTGCGATATTTTTGCAGTACTGAAATAGTTCAGATTGTATCACTGGTTTATCGAAATTAAAAAGGAAATTATCATTGTCTGAAAAAAGAATATACAAAATATCACAGTCTTGATGTTAATAGGATTTATTAGCTTAAAACAACCACGTGGTCAAGTGTTAACTATGCCTATGACATAAACAACGTGAAATTAGAATTCTGGTTGTGAGAGGGTGTTTGTGGACTGAGCGAAAACATGTATCAGATATTTTCGTAATTTTGCGATAAATAGGAGGCTGTTGCAGCTGTACCGTGTTAATTATGACTATTTCTTATGGTCTATAAAATGGCAGTGTCCATTTTCTCTATCTCTGTGCTTCGCTCTTGATAACGTTAACTTAAATTACCGAAAATGATAACAATGAGGATAAGTATGATAATAAGGATAATAAAAGTAAAATTGATAGTATAAGTAATTTTGACATTTTTATCAGTTATGCCTTTAAAAAGTTTATTTTCTTTATTCTGTTCAAAGAAAACGTAACGAAACCCCTAACTAAAGGAAACTCGTATTTTTCTCAATCTATCTATAATCTATAGATTATCTACTTTGTACGTCTCTTTTATGAATATTACAACTCGCAAGACTTCGCAGCGTAAATCTACTGATAGCAGGCCAGGGACCATCTGTAAATATGTTTATAAAGATGAGTGTTTCAGACAGATTAGAAGATGGATAGACAGATATGTAAGAAAAGGATATGTTAACAAATTTACTACAAGTTTTATTTGTATAATGAAACAGATGTTCCCTTTGATAAGTATGTAAATGAAAAAAAAAATCAGATAAAGGGGAAATATTCAGATTCAAAATCTACACGCTTTCGCAGCATCGACATGACACCGTGACATGCTTTACCTGTAATGCTGCGTCTGCACAAATGCTGCCGAGTCACCCGCATACACCGTGTCTAGAAGAGAGAAAGATAATGATTAAGCGTGAAACGATATCAATTTTGTTAGATTCTTTTATTTTACATAATTTTGCCGTAATGATTCCTTGATTATTCATTGGTGTTGGTAGGTGTACGCGAGTGCTCGCACACACATACACACATACGTACACAAACACACACACACACGCACACACACACACACACACACACACACACACACACACACACACACACACACACACACACACACACACACACACACACACACACACGCACACATTACAGAGCAATCGCATTAAGACAAAAGCCGAAAGGCGCCTCACTCATCTGAACGTCATTGGGATCCACATCCTCCTGCTTCCCCGTCTTCCTGACGTAGACTCCTTCCCTGAGCAGACGGACGTTGCCATCAAACACGTTCGGGAACTCCAGCTTCGGCCTCCAGATCATGGCAGCTTCCTTCTCCGACAGCTTGTTCCACTCGAGGACGTCCTTGAGGTTGAGGAACCTGAGCCTCGGGTCCTTCCAGGTGATCTCGACATTCAGCTCGAGTCTCACCAGGCGGTTGACGTCGCTGATGGTCACGAAGCGAAGGATCTCGACGGCGGCGTCCAGCTCGACGGGGCGTCCGGCGCGGGCTCTCGGGGGGCCTCTCCTCCGGTAGCTCCTCGGAAGTTCGATCAGAGTGCAGCCCGCCTCGTCCGTCCAGGCAGTCGTCCTCGGCTCTGTCCGAGAATCGCCCTCAGCTTCTTGCGGGGAGCGGGTCTCGCGATTCCCAGGGCGGGTGGCCTATTCGAGTTCTGCTCCTGCGAATGAACCCCTCGTCAAAGATACCGTGGGTAGAATTCCCCTTAGCCCGAAGTAGCCGTGGACTTGCCTTCCAGGTAGCCCAGGACCTCGGTCACTGTCTCCAGTTCCTCCTTCACGCAGAGTCCTCGCAGCCGGAGGGGCCGCGAGAGGTCCTTCTCGCAGGGCACGCACGCGTCCCAGACCCGGAAGCAGTAGGTGTCGGTCCAGAGGCCGTCGATAAGAGACATGAACATGCAGTTCTCTCCCCTCTCGCCGTTGGGCTGATCATGGGAGAAGGGGAGCTCGGTCACCACGGAACCGTCCGAGAATTTACGCCACACGGTCTCGTTCTCTTCGTCAGACAGCCCGAGCCAAAGGTGGAAGTTGGAGAAGCAA